AATATAAAATACAATTCACCCAAATTTTTTTTGCCAAATTCTTCTTAGCAAAACAAAATATAGGTGATTAAAATCAATGCATCTCGTCGATTTTCATTAATAATCTAATGGATGCTATCATGTGACATCATTTGATAAATAAGATTTGGTAAAATTTTGGTTTTTTCTAAATTATTCTTTTTTTTATGCATTTTAAACTAGAAGTGATCACCCTCCCTAATTCTTTTACTTTTTTTTTTCATCCAATCATTCGAGATATTTGGTAATAAATAATTTTTTAGAAAAACTTTAAATGGATAATAGTTAATTGATAAGGTGGAAAGAAAGAAAAAAGTCTTTTTTTTTTCCCAAAATTTTATCATGAGGAGATCGGTCACCTTTGTCGAACTACTTCATCTGTGTTAAAAAAAAAATGGCTTATTAAAAAAAGTGATTCAAGTTGATGAGAGTGACTTCTTCCTTCTCCAAGAGTGAAGTGAAGTGAAGTAAAATTGATGGTCAATAGAGCGGTTGTGACTAATTTGAACAAAAAATTATCTAATTTTTAAATATTTTTTTATCCGACATCATCATACTTATATGCTCCCACCTTTTAAGCATGTGAGATAATGTGATTGAATACAAACCCATATTGAAGTTAGATAAAGAAAAAACTACGAGGAAAAAAAAAGAGGTGGGGAGTAAAATCTTTATGTAGTCCTGTGAGAGAGAGAGAGAGAGAGAGCCTCTCCTTATTCCTCTTTAGAGCCAACTTCCATGGCCCTAACTCCATGCCTTTAAAACAATGCTCATCCTTCCTATTTGAAAGGTGATTNTCAATTTTTAAATATTTTTTTATCCGACATCATCATACTTATATGCTCCCACCTTTTAAACATATGAGATAATGTGATTGAATACAAACCCGTATTGAAGTTAGATAAAGAAAAAACTATGAGGAAAAAAAAAAGAGGTGGGGAGTAAAATCTTTATGTAGTCCTCTGTGAGAGAGAGAGAGAGAGAGAGAGAGAGAGCCTCTCCTTATTCCTCTTTAGAGCCAACTTCCCTGGCCCTAACTCCATGCCTTTAAAACAATGCTCATCCTTCCTATTTGAAAGGTGATTGTAACGCCACTTGGATGGATTATGCCTTTTGGTTTACGGCGTTGGTTATATTCACAATGGACCACCATTTATCTAATGTCTAAGCCAAGCCAAAATGGTCCCCGGACCTGGTCCTTTCAGACGGTGATCGGTCAGTTCATGGCCCATTATATTGTCGTTGTGAGGTCAAAAATAGGAGCACATTAATGTTTGCTCTCTCACGAGTCATGTCTGTCCACCGATTGGTCGTCGGTACTTCTTCCTATGAGTCAATGTAGTTTACACTCCGTTTATGATGGGATTCGAAGGTTATACTCGTTCACTAATTATGACGGAAGTGTGAAAATTTGTCTATTACATATCTTTAGCCCCACCTCCACCACCATTAACCTAAGAGAAATTTTTGCATCGATTTAGATTCTGATAGAATTTAATCTTTAAATATATTTATGACAAGCATTGACTATAAGGGGGTCATAGCAATGATAACTTGCGTGATTCTCAGTTTCAGAAAATTAATTTGATTGATTATTTGGAGTTATAATTAAATCTGTTAAGTCGTGTTGGAAGACACGATACAATGTTAGTAAGAAGTAATGAATTTTGAGGGAGAGAAAATTCAATGTGATTGGTTTGAGAGAAATGTTAATGGTCGTTGGATGAATCTATTTAAGATTATCGGATAGACTTATTAAAGTTTATCCTATTTTATATTATAGATTTGAATGTTCAATATGAACTATCATATTGATTTTATCAACCTTTTAGATCAAATTTATATTTTTAACAAATTTAGACATGAATTATAAAAATAAAATTTAGTAAATAATTATATTATACAAAAAATATTGAAGGAAATATAGATNTTCCCTGGCCCTAACTCCATGCCTTTAAAACAATGCTCATCCTTCCTATTTGAAAGGTGATTGTAACGCCACTTGGATGGATTATGCCTTTTGGTTTACGGCGTTGGTTATATTCACAATGGACCACCATTTATCTAATGTCTAAGCCAAGCCAAAATGGTCCCCGGACCTGGTCCTTTCAGACGGTGATCGGTCAGTTCATGGCCCATTATATTGTCGTTGTGAGGTCAAAAATAGGAGCACATTAATGTTTGCTCTCTCACGAGTCATGTCTGTCCACCGATTGGTCGTCGGTACTTCTTCCTATGAGTCAATGTAGTTTACACTCCGTTTATGATGGGATTCGAAGGTTATACTCGTTCACTAATTATGACGGAAGTGTGAAAATTTGTCTATTACATATCTTTAGCCCCACCTCCACCACCATTAACCTAAGAGAAATTTTTGTATCGATTTAGATTCTGATAGAATTTAATCTTTAAATATATTTATGACAAGCATTGACTATAAGGGGGTCATAGCAATGATAACTTGTGTGATTTTCAGAAATCAACTTGATTGATTATTTGGAGTTATAATTAAATCTGTTAAGTCGTGTTGGAAGACACGATACAATGTAAATAAGAAGTAATGAATTTTGAGGGAGAGAAAATTCAATGTGATTGGTTTGAGAGAAATGTTAATGGTCGTTGGATGAATCTATTTGAGATTATCGGATAGACTTATTAAAGCTTATCCTATTTTATATTATAAATTTGAATGTTCAATATGAACTATCATATTGATTTTATCAACCTTTTAGATCAAATTTATATTTTTAACAAATTTAGACATGAATTATAAAAATAAAATTTAGTAAATAATTATATTATACAAAAAATATTGAAGGAAATATAGATTACGGATATATGACATACTCATAACTTTTAAATAATTTTACAAAATTATTCAAATTCGATTCATTTTAAAAATGAGTCAAACTTAAGTTTAGTTTGAATAATTTGCCTATTATACGTATAACTGATTCGAGCTTTAAGTGTTCTAGCAAAATAAAGTTTTTTATGTAAGTATAAAAAATTATTATCGGCACACATTGTATTTGGTAAGTAACCAAGCATAGAGGCATTAACTTTGACACACCCCCTTTGACTGCATTCAAGACGCTGAATANCAATCACGTGGTGAGTTGGTGGGATCATTACGCCTAATATTTACTCTAGAGGCATATCATTATATATAGATTTTTTATACCCCTTTTTTATTTGTTTAGTATTGGTTTATAAATATTCCTCCCCTCCACAAACAAAAAAATAAAAATAAGTGAGTATGCACTGAGTCAACTCGGTTTTACGGGTGTTCCAAAAAAAAAAACTCGGTTTTGTAGACTCGGTGATTGCCCGAGGAGGGAGAGTCAACACCCAGTTAACCAGGCGATTAAGCTTGGGCTCGTCGGTTACACTACTAGTTTCCTTTTCCTTGGCTCTTTTTGTATTCTTTGTACTTTCACAGTTCATTAAGGAGTGACTTTATTGATTCATTGAAATGCACTTATAATATAAAAAAAAAAAATGGGTGGCCCACTATATACAGGTTCGGAAGAATCAGTAGATGTACACAGTCATACATCAGTATATGAAAAAACCGACTCGAACCCTTTGCATTCAAATCGCAACAGAGCAACATTAACTTGCTCCAGAAATAATGTTGTAGCAAATATAAATGATGATGTATGCTTTACTTTTATGAAGATTCATCTGACAAAACNACTCACTTCCGCACAATTCTCAACTTACCCACCGAATCAACTCGTTCCACGAATGAGTTTACTAATCAGCTTGACTGGTTGTTAATTTTTAGCTAGTAACATCACGTGGTGAGTTGGTGGGATCATTACGCCTAATATTTACTCTAGAGGCATATCATTATATATAGATTTTTTATATCCCTTTTTTATTTGTTTAGTATTGGTTTATAAATATTCCTCCCCTCCACAAAGAAAAAAATAAAAATAAGTGAGTATGCACTGAGTCAACTCGGTTTTACGGGTGTTCCAAAAAAAAAAAAACTCGGTTTTGTAGACTCGGTGATTGCCCGAGGAGGGAGAGTCAACACCCAGTTAACCAGGCGATTAAGCTTGGGCTCGTCGGTTACACTACTAGTTTCCTTTTCCTTGGCTCTTTTTGTATTCTTTGTACTTTCACAGTTCATTAAGGAGTGACTTTATTGATTCATTGAAATGCACTTATAATATAAAAAAAAAAAATGGGTGGCCCACTATATACAGGTTCGGAAGAATCAGTAGATGTACACAGTCATACATCAGTATATGAAAAAACCGACTCGAACCCTTTGCATTCAAATCGCAACAGAGCAACATTAACTTGCTCCAGAAATAATGTTGTAGCAAATATAAATGATGGTGTATGCTTTACTTTTATGAAGATTCATCTGACAAAACTTGAAAAAAAAAAAGTATTTTGTAGGTGATTCAATATGGGTTGGTGCTGTCTTGTCAGTGAGAAACATCAGGGGAATGGAATAAGAAGAGGGGAGAAAATGGAGGAATTTACAGTGGTCTAAGATAATTTTTTCGAAAATTCTACCTATTCACTTCACTCTAGATAGTGTCTTACAATTCACGTGTTTTATTGTGAGGGAGATCCACATAATCTTTTCCCTTAACACCCGTCATCCATATAGATGATGGAGTTTTCTCTTTTTCAGGTCTTCTTCGTTGTGGAAAGAGTTGTCGGCTCCGGTGGGCAAACTATCTCAGGCCAGACATCAAACGTGGTCCTTTTAGTCCTGAAGAAGAGAAGCTTGTCATTCAGTTGCATGGAATTCTTGGCAACAGGTATAAAAATTGTATACTTTACATTGGACTTTGGATCTGATAGTTCTGTTATCATTTCCATTTGTGAAAAGCAAAAGTTGGCTTTGACTAGTTTTAAAGGTGTATAACAAGCAATGCCAAGGGGTATCACAATGCCATAACAGAGAATGAGACATATAATAAGGACACTTAGAATAGTCTCTGGTTCTGGTTCTGTATAGCAATCAACTAATAACTGATACAACTTGGTCCAGTCGTATCTGACTCTGCACTTTGTATTTCAATACTGATACTTGTTAAATGTAAACTATGAGCCTCGCTGGACTANGTTCTGGTTCTGTATAGCAATCAACTAATAACTGATACAACTTGGTCCAGTCGTATCTGACTCTGTACTTTGTATTTCAATACTGATACTTGTTAAATGTAAACTATGAGCCTCGCTGGACTAGCCAAGCAGTGGTTGACTCGGATCCCCCTCTAACAACGCCAGCGATGCAGCGGTACCATTGATATGTCCAACAACTTCTATTTAGAATTTTGTGCATCTCACTTAATACCATTCCGTAACACCATGATCGATATTTCTCTATACCCTCTTAATTATAGTGGGNTGCCAGCGATGCAGCGGTACCATTGATATGTCCAACAACTTCTATTTAGAATTTTGTGCATCTCACTTGATACCATTCCGTAACACCATGATCGATATTTCTCTATACCCTCTTAATTATAGTGGGACTTTGAACCATGTTTTATCGCTTGTCTGCGGCCTAAATCAATGTTCTACTCACAAAAAAATATGCTATTGTAGCAAGGACATTTGAGGCAGTCCTTTTCTTTGTATGTTTAAGCTACATTTTCACTCTTTTGGTGCATTCAAGGGCGTGTCTAAACTTCCATCTAGGTGTTAAAACTCTCACAAATACTGAATTAATGCTGTGCAGGTGGGCTGCCATTGCTTCTCAACTACCAGGAAGGACAGACAATGAGATCAAGAACTTATGGAATACTCACTTGAAGAAGCGCCTGCTTTGCATGGGCATTGACCCCCACACACATGAACCCTCATCCAACTCCAATGGCCCCCTGAATAGGCTGCCTGCGTCACCCTCGACCCGTCACATGGCACAATGGGAGAGTGCTAGGCTTGAAGCCGAGGCTCGTCTTTCAAGGGAGTCATCCTTCTTGGCTTCACCCTCTGCTGGAAGAATTGATACTGATTACTTTCTGCGCATTTGGAATTCTGAGATTGGGGAATCATTTCGGAAGATCAAGAATGACAAAACTGCTTGCCAAAGTCCAGCCTCTCAGCTATCTTCATCCACAAAGTATGGGTCGGTTTCAGGCACCACAACAGAAATGGGACTCATAGTAGCAGGTTCCTCTGCTGCAGGAAGCAACCAAAATGAAGATACAGAATGCAAGAGCAGCAAATTGTGCACTGAAGATGTCACGGGAGGGTCAGATTCGTCGATTTCCAATGAGTTGGACTTGGAGGATTCATCTGAATCAGCGTTGCAACTGCTTCTGGATTTCCCTGGCAACAATGACATGAGCTTCTTAGAAGAACATACTGTTGACTATGCAATGTATCATGCTATTTCAACAGAAAGCTCCTTAAATTGCTCCATCTGAGAAATATAACCTCATTTTCCTCTTGAAAAGTAGCAAGATGTTTTAGAGCCTTGGTTGCTTAAGTTGTGAGCTGGTCATTTTTTTTTTTGTATTTCCAGCTGTGAAGGAGTAGTATAAGTAAGTAGGTGTGGCCTTTCTGTGTTATGACTCAATTATAGTGCCTACTTAGTTAAGTATATATAGAGGACATACTTTTGCGTTTAGGAGTTCATTTTTAGTTTTTAATGCTTTATCTGATTGTCATTGCGAGATCATACTGATGCTAATATATATTCGGTGTTTTTGTGCTTCCTTTGCTAATTTTGGCCGAGATACATTTCTTTGAAAGTGTTATGCTTGTTTGGTATTGGAATCTTGACTTGTATCAGTAGTCTGCCTTAGAAAAGAGATACAAAGGTCATACCTAGTTCATAAAGCTTCTGTCTATAATGGGACCTGAGACTTTATAAATGCTTTAATCTGAGCTAGNTATCACCCTGTGATCTTCCTATGGAGTCAATTTTATGTGATCATTCTACCAATCAAGAGTAGTATCTATGATGAACAATGTTACATTGGCTAACATTATAAGAGTAGATCATGCTTTAGAACATCAAACTCATGGAAGAATGCAGATTAAACTAGAGGCCCTGGTTACCTCAAATTTTTTCAGTTGAGCTTCAGTAGCTGCTTTCTTGGTGTTTTCCCAAGAAGAGACAGCAGATAGCTGCTTTTGAACCCTGTTAAATCATTTCAATGAAGTCACAAAATTTTCAGCAATTAGCTTTTTCTTTACTCTGGTGGGAACCAGAATTTAGCACAAACTCTTCCGATTCAGACTCATATTTTCATAATAAACAGAGCAAACCTTCTGCTTCCTGTCGTGGATTGATGAATAATCAGTAGGTGGCAGGATGATACAAACTTGGCCAGTTCAATTAACTATAATGGCCCCGATTGGAGCTGGCTTTTTTGGATGCGAAGCAGAAGTTTGAATGTTAAGCTCCCTCGCTTACAGTCAATTGGGATGGGGAAGTGTTTCGCGAGATAGTTCATAACATTACAAAAAACACACGATTGTCATGCATGCCCCCCTCCCATCCAGCTGAAATGAAGGTGAAGCACAAATCAAAATCACAGACAACAATGCTACTTTGTGTGTAACCTTTCCTTCAGACGGTGGTGTACAGGCCATATGAGTTTCGTCTAGCGTGCCAATGCAATGCTATAATAAGAACAAGAACAAGGGTTAATCAAAATAATTCACACAATTTTTTTTTTGGTTAGAAATCTTTCATCACAACTAAACCTGGAACGGAAGATATGTTCTGTTGGTCGAAATGTGCAAGTGGAGAAAAGTTTGTTCGTGCCAGAGTTTGATGCAGTCAACTGCCAACCGTTTCATATAGCGGTGTAATTTGAATTGCGCAATCCGATTTTTACCTGAAAAAATTAAGATTTGGGTAAAGATTTTTAATTCTTGGGTTGGGTTTGAGTCAAAAAATCTAACCCGAATTCAATTTGAGTTGAATTCGGGTTCAACCTGAAGTCAACAAATTAAAAAAAAAATTATATATATATATAAAAAATTAACACTGATTTTTCATTTTTGTTCTATCGTTTTTTGTCTCTCTTGTCCATTTTTATTTTTGTTAAAAACTTGATTGAAGTTATTGGTTGTTAATTTAGGTAAATATTATGTAATATATGTATTAGGTTTAGAACAACGAGTTTATTTTAGCCTCTACCCGAACTCAACTTGAATTGAACCCGTAAAGTAACCCGAAATCATTAATCCGAATTCTACCTGAGCCAGCCTGAATTAAACTCGGTCACTCAACCCGAGGTAGGGTTAAGATTAGAGTTAGAGTTGAAAATTATATACGTAGAGTTGGAATAAAATTGACTGTCTAACCTGTCCGAGTTGCACCCCCAGTTTCAAGTGTCTGTGCACCGTTTCTCTAGAATGTTGAAATCTCTCCTCAACAACTCTAAACTCCTCAGCATCTACAGGAAACATTCCAACTGACACCTCGACTCATAAATCCCAATTGATACTAGGAGTACACAAACCGTAGTTGTTAACCAAATTTATACACAGTTGACGGAAAATCATTCGAAAGAGGTGGTAAATCGATATGTGATGGCTTGTTAGCAGTTCCATCATCCAATTCCATCCGAATGACTAGAAGTTCGGCACGGTATTTTGTTACATAAGTTGCATTGGATGCTTTAAAGGTGGCCTACATAGCAAATTCAACCATTCTCCTTGCCTTTCGCCTCCTCGCATTGACATACCCCCACTAGGACATTATTGGTTGCTCTGTCCCTCGCAAAATCTTGATTTACACCGTTGCTAGATCCTGCACTGTATGGATTCATTCTCGAACTAGTCATGCCACTGATAAAAAAATCTATAAGTAACAAGTACACAACAGTACACAACAACATACTTAGAGCAACATTGGCATACAACTTATTAGTCCATACTACCTTAAGAAGTTCATATTAGCACCACTACATAATCATACAGTATTACGAAGTACAACCAAGTTACACTAAATAAACAAGCATCACCCTGCAACCTAATAGTCTATATCACAATACGAAGTACAACTACGCATTACTACATAATCAAGCATATCACTTTCTACTTATCGGCAGCCTAGGCTAATAACAACCAATTTGATTTGTTTGCTTGGCCACTAGCCAATCATTCCGGACTCTGTCACTGGGGAAACTCATGAAAACCTCGCGATTAGGATGATCCTCGGTCTGAATAAGTACAATGGATCACCAACAAACACATCAGGCACCTCAGGTATCTTGTTAATGAACTTGGCTACGGATACATCACTTGTGTAGCCAATTATGTGATTGACTGTCAAATCATTGGACTGCGCCTGAAAAGCCAGTGTCATCTATTCCATAGTCCTCACAATTTGATCTCCTTTTGTAAGTTTCTTGCTCTTCCTCTTCCCTGGCTTNTAATCTGAGCTAGAGATAATTCAAGCTCCAAAGCACCAGCCAATACCTTTCTTTGTAGTGTGGCCAGTTGCGTGGTGTTTTACAGCCATCTCTTGTGCTTGGAGAATTTCTTCCACACGTTTGGCTTTTACCATTGTTTTCTATTCTTCTGCTTGCTTGTGAATCAAGCAGAAGAATTCTTTTACATTGTTTTTTCATTTTTTCTGCATAATCTGCTTTCTTATTCTCCAGTTTTTTCTGGTCATACCTAAACTCTAGTTTTTATTTTGTATATCATTGTTCTCTTATTCATACATTTGTAGTGTAATAATAATTTCTCTACTTTCTGTTTCTTTGTTCTATTTGGCTCCTGAACCGCCATACACCTATTGGGGGGGGGGGGGGGGGGGGGATGTGCCNGGGCAAACTATCTCAGGCCAGACATCAAACGTGGTCCTTTTAGTCCTGAAGAAGAGAAGCTTGTCATTCAGTTGCATGGAATTCTTGGCAACAGGTATAAAAATTGTATACTTTACATTGGACTTTGGATCTGATAGTTCTGTTATCATTTCCATTTGTGAAAAGCAAAAGTTGGCTTTGACTAGTTTTAAAGGTGTATAACAAGCAATGCCAAGGGGTATCACAATGCCATAACAGAGAATGAGACATATAATAAGGATACTTAGAATAGTCTCTGGTTCTGGTTCTGTATAGCAATCAACTAATAACTGATACAACTTGGTCCAGTCGTATCTGACTCTGCACTTTGTATTTCAATACTGATACTTGTTAAATGTAAACTATGAGCCTCGCTGGACTAGCCAAGCAGTGGTTGACTCGGATCCCCCTCTAACAATGCCAGCGATGCAGCGGTACCATTGATATGTCCAACAACTTCTATTTAGAATTTTGTGCATCTCACTTGATACCATTCCGTAACACCATGATCGATATTTCTCTATACCCTCTTAATTATAGTGGGACTTTGAACCATGTTTTATCGCTTGTCTGCGGCCTAAATCAATGTTCTACTCACAAAAAAATATGCTATTGTAGCAAGGACATTTGAGGCAGTCCTTTTCTTTGTATGTTTAAGCTACATTTTCACTCTTTTGGTGCATTCAAGGGCGTGTCTAAACTTCCATCTAGGTGTTAAAACTCTCAAAAAAACTGAATTAATGCTGTGCAGGTGGGCTGCCATTGCTTCTCAACTACCAGGAAGGACAGACAATGAGATCAAGAACTTATGGAATACTCACTTGAAGAAGCGCCTGCTTTGCATGGGCATTGACCCCCACACACATGAACCCTCATCCAACTCCAATGGCCCCCTGAATAGGCTGCCTGCATCACCCTCGACCCGTCACATGGCACAATGGGAGAGTGCTAGGCTTGAAGCCGAGGCTCGTCTTTCAAGGGAGTCATCCTTCTTGGCTTCACCCTCTGCTGGAAGAATTGATACTGATTACTTTCTGCGCATTTGGAATTCTGAGATTGGGGAATCATTTCGGAAGATCAAGAATGACAAAACTGCTTGCCAAAGTCCAGCCTCTCAGCTATCTTCATCCACAAAGTATGGGTCGGTTTCAGGCACCACAACAGAAATGGGACTCATAGTAGCAGGTTCCTCTGCTGCAGGAAGCAACCAAAATGAAGATACAGAATGCAAGAGCAGCAAATTGTGCACTGAAGATGTCACGGGAGGGTCAGATTCGTCGATTTCCAATGAGTTGGACTTGGAGGATTCATCTGAATCAGCGTTGCAACTGCTTCTGGATTTCCCTGGCAACAATGACATGAGCTTCTTAGAAGAACATACTGTTGACTATGCAATGTATCATGCTATTTCAACAGAAAGCTCCTTAAATTGCTCCATCTGAGAAATATAACCTCATTTTCCTCTTGAAAAGTAGCAAGATGTTTTAGAGCCTTGGTTGCTTAAGTTGTGAGCTGGTCATTTTTTTTTTTGTATTTCCAGCTGTGAAGGAGTAGTATAAGTAAGTAGGTGTGGGCTTTCTGTGTTATGACTCAATTATAGTGCCTACTTAGTTAAGTATATATAGAGGACATACTTTTGCGTTTAGGAGTTCATTTTTAGTTTTTAATGCTTTATCTGATTGTCATTGCGAGATCATACTGATGCTAATATATATTCGGTGTTTTTGTGCTTCCTTTGCTAATTTTGGCCGAGATACATTTCTTTGAAAGTGTTATGCTTGTTTGGTATTGGAATCTTGACTTGTATCAGTAGTCTGCCTTAGAAAAGAGATACAAAGGTCATACCTAGTTCATAAAGCTTCTGTCTATAATGGGACCTGAGACTTTATAAATGCTTGAAATCTCTCCTCAACAACTCTTAACTCCTCAGCATCTACAGGAAACATTCCAACTGACACCTCGACTCATAAATCCCAATTGATACTAGGAGTACACAAACCGTAGTTGTTAACCAAATTTATACACAGTTGACGGAAAATCATTCGAAAGAGGTGGTAAATCGATATGTGATGGCTTGTTAGCAGTTCCATCATCCAATTCCATCCGAATGACTAGAAGTTCGGCACGGTATTTTGTTACATAAGTTGCATTGGATGCTTTAAAGGTGGCCTACATAGCAAATTCAACCATTCTCCTTGCCTTTCGCCTCCTCGCATTGACATACCCCCACTAGGACATTATTGGTTGCTCTGTCCCTCGCAAAATCTTGATTTACACCGTTGCTAGATCCTGCACTGTATGGATTCATTCTCGAACTAGTCATGCCACTGATAAAAAAATCTATAAGTAACAAGTACACAACAGTACACAACAACATACTTAGAGCAACATTGGCATACAACTTATTAGTCCATACTACCTTAAGAAGTTCATATTAGCACCACTACATAATCATACAGTATTACGAAGTACAACCAAGTTACACTAAATAAACAAGCATCACCCTGCAACCTAATAGTCTATATCACAATACGAAGTACAACTACGCATTACTACATAATCAAGCATATCACTTTCTACTTATCGGCAGCCTAGGCTAATAACAACCAATTTGATTTGTTTGCTTGGCCACTAGCCAATCATTCCGGACTCTGTCACTGGGGAAACTCATGAAAACCTCGCGATTAGGATGATCCTCGGTCTGAATAAGTACAATGGATCACCAACAAACACATCAGGCACCTCAGGTATCTTGTTAATGAACTTGGCTACGGATACATCACTTGTGTAGCCAATTATGCGATTGACTGTCAAATCATTGGACTGCGCCTGAAAAGCCAGTGTCATCTATTCCATAATCCTCACAATTTGATCTCCTTTTGTAAGTTTCTTGCTCTTCCTCTTCCCTGGCTTGTCAACAGAAGTACTTCCCCTTTTCGTCCCGCTTGAGGTGTTATCTCTTGATACCGGGCCATCGGGNTGATTGACTGTCAAATCATTGGACTGCGCCTGAAAAGCCAGTGTCATCTATTCCATAGTCCTCACAATTTGATCTCCTTTTGTAAGTTTCTTGCTCTTCCTCTTCCCTGGCTTGTCAACAGAAGTACTTCCCCTTTTCGTCCCGCTTGAGGTGTTATCTNGAGTTTATTTTAGCCTCTACCCGAACTCAACTTGAATTGAACCCGTAAAGTAACCCGAAATCATTAATCCGAATTCTACCTGAGCCAGCCTGAATTAAACTCGGTCACTCAACCCGAGGTAGGGTTAAGATTAGAGTTAGAGTTGAAAATTATATACGTAGAGTTGGAATAAAATTGACTGTCTAACCTGTCCGAGTTGCACCCCCAGTTTCAAGTGTCTGTGCACCGTTTCTCTAGAATGTTGAAATCTCTCCTCAACAACTCTAAACTCCTCAGCATCTACAGGAAACATTCCAACTGACACCTCGACTCATAAATCCCAATTGATACTAGGAGTACACAAACCGTAGTTGTTAACCAAATTTATACACAGTTGACGGAAAATCATTCGAAAGAGGTGGTAAATCGATATGTGATGGCTTGTTAGCAGTTCCATCATCCAATTCCATCCGAATGACTAGAAGTTCGGCACGGTATTTTGTTACATAAGTTGCATTGGATGCTTTAAAGGTGGCCTACATAGCAAATTCAACCATTCTCCTTGCCTTTCGCCTCCTCGCATTGACATACCCCCACTAGGACATTATTGGTTGCTCTGTCCCTCGCAAAATCTTGATTTACACCGTTGCTAGATCCTGCACTGTATGGATTCATTCTCGAACTAGTCATGCCACTGATAAAAAAATCTATAAGTAACAAGTACACAACAGTACACAACAACATACTTAGAGCAACATTGGCATACAACTTATTAGTCCATACTACCTTAAGAAGTTCATATTAGCACCACTACATAATCATACAGTATTACGAAGTACAACCAAGTTACACTAAATAAACAAGCATCACCCTGCAACCTAATAGTCTATATCACAATACGAAGTACAACTACGCATTACTACATAATCAAGCATATCACTTTCTACTTATCGGCAGCCTAGGCTAATAACAACCAATTTGATTTGTTTGCTTGGCCACTAGCCAATCATTCCGGACTCTGTCACTGGGGAAACTCATGAAAACCTCGCGATTAGGATGATCCTCGGTCTGAATAAGTACAATGGATCACCAACAAACACATCAGGCACCTCAGGTATCTTGTTAATGAACTTGGCTACGGATACATCACTTGTGTAGCCAATTATGCGATTGACTGTCAAATCATTGGACTGCGCCTGAAAAGCCAGTGTCATCTATTCCATAATCCTCACAATTTGATCTCCTTTTGTAAGTTTCTTGCTCTTCCTCTTCCCTGGCTTGTCAACAGAAGTACTTCCCCTTTTCGTCCCGCTTGAGGTGTTATCTCTTGATACCGGGCCATTGGGATCACAACTCAAATTCAGCAGGAATGTATGGTAGATTGGCAATGTCATTTGCTGTCAGCGATTGGGTGACACTTTCTCCACTTCCCTCCTCCAGCACGGGATCACTTGCAACATTTTCACCCGGTGTCCATTCATTTGCTCCAGTTGAAGTAACCCCTCTTAATACCTGATCCATAAGATCTTCATGATCTAAGCCCTTCTCTCTAAACTTGGCACAGTACCTGTTCATATGTGCAAGGTACATACAAGTGTAAGAATTAGTAATAAAATCAAAACATATGTGGCTACCTTATAATGAAATGAACGCAAAATGTGTCTTACATTTGTCATTTTGATCCACCAGTGGTCAGTTGCCGAAAAAGTGTTTAGCTTGTTGTCCAAGTAGTGTAGTCTTTTAGTCTTTTCTGATCAACTCATCCTTGTTCTTGAGTTGCTTGTGGCTATGGTATTTCCCAGTGACATTGTACATCGTCTCCATAATCTCAGCATATCCCTTGAAATTTAGAAAACCACCTGATTTCCCTTATGTAAATTTGTCACACAATATACCCAAGAAACGTGCGCATTGTTGGGTAGTCCCAATTAGCTTTAGCAGGTGGCACCCTTTCGAGTGGTGACTAAAACTTATTTTTTTTCTCCTTACCCTGTTTAGAGTTGCCTACCGTTCTTGACTATCCTTGTGTGGCCATCACTTTGCTAAACATGTAAAAAATTTACTTCCAGTTTCTAGCAAACGCATGAAACACAAAGACACCAATTCCATTAATATACCAAAATAATTACTTTCTGAATAAATAATTTTTCCATTATTTAGTCTTGCCCATGAAAATAAATTTAAAATCAAATGCATGCACAAACAAAAACACAAGAATTCGAGGTGGTTTCTGGTGTCTTATTAGTGTGAGTGATATCACCAAAGGTGTTCAAATAGGGTGACACCATCCGGGAATCATAACGAGGTATTCAACCACGTTCACTTTTCCCTGCATAGTGTTATTGAACGGAGTTTTTGGGTGTGGAATAAAAGATAAACGATATTGAAGAGCATGCCAACATATGATACTCGAACATAGACATTCATTGTTGGTGCTTTAATGGCATTGCATAACTACATACGCAAGCACAATGCCCAAGATGAGGTACTTGAAGAGGTCGAGCGCGATGAGACATATGTACTCGAGGGTAAAGATTTTGGCACATGGATGTTGAAATTTTCGACAACAATGACGAGGAGTNCTGCATAACTACGTACGCAAGCACAATGCCCAAGATGAGGTACTTGAAGAGGTCGAGCGCGATGAGACATATGTACTTGAGGGTAAAGATTTTGGCACATGGATGTTGAAATTTTCGACAACAATGACGAGGAGTNCGGGATCACAACTCAAATTCAGCGGGAATGTATGGTAGATTGGCAATGTCATTTGCTGTCGGCGATTGGGTGTCACTTTCTCCACTTCCCTCCTCCAGCACGGGATCACTTGCAACATTTTCACCCGGTGTCCATCGATTTGCTCCAGTTGAAGTAACCCCTCTTAATACCTGATCCATAAGATCTTCATGATCNGCTCCTCGCATTGACATACCCCCACTAGGACATTATTGGTTGCTCTGTCCTTCGCAAAATCTTGATTTACACCGTCGCTAGATCCTGCACTGTATGGATTCATTCTCGAACTAGTCATGCCACTGATAAAAAATCTATAAGTAACAAGTACACAACAGTACACAACAACATACTTAGAGCAACATTGGCATACAACTTATTAGTCCATACTACCTTAAGAAGTTCATATTAGCACCACTACATAATCATACAGTATTACGAAGTACAACCAAGTTACACTAAATAAACAAGCATCACCCTGCAACCTAATAGTCTATATCACAATACGAAGTACAACTACGCATTACTACATAATCAAGCATATCACTTTCTACTTATCGGCAGCCTAGGCTAATAACAACCAATTTGATTTGTTTGCTTGGCCACTAGCCAATCATTCCGGACTCTGTCACTGGGGAAACTCATGAAAACCTCGCGATTAGGATGATCCTCGGTCTGAATAAGTACAATGGATCACCAACAAACACATCAGGCACCTCAGGTATCTTGTTAATGAACTTGGCTACGGATACATCACTTGTGTAGCCAATTATGCGATTGACTGTCAAATCATTGGACTGCGCCTGAAAAGCCAGTGTCATCTATTCCATAATCCTCACAATTTGATCTCCTTTTGTAAGTTTCTTGCTCTTCCTCTTCCCTGGCTTGTCAACAGAAGTACTTCCCCTTTTCGTCCCGCTTGAGGTGTTATCTCTTGATACCGGGCCATTGGGATCACAACTCAAATTCAGCAGGAATGTATGGTAGATTGGCAATGTCATTTGCTGTCAGCGATTGGGTGACACTTTCTCCACTTCCCTCCTCCAGCACGGGATCACTTGCAACATTTTCACCCGGTGTCCATTCATTTGCTCCAGTTGAAGTAACCCCTCTTAATACCTGATCCATAAGATCTTCATGATCTAAGCCCTTCTCTCTAAACTTGGCACAGTACCTGTTCATATGTGCAAGGTACATACAAGTGTAAGAATTAGTAATAAAATCAAAACATATGTGGCTACCTTATAATGAAATGAACGCAAAATGTGTCTTACATTTGTCATTTTGATCCACCAGTGGTCAGTTGCCGAAAAAGTGTTTAGCTTGTTGTCCAAGTAGTGTAGTCTTTTAGTCTTTTCTGATCAACTCATCCTTGTTCTTGAGTTGCTTGTGGCTATGGTATTTCCCAGTGACATTGTACATCGTCTCCATAATCTCAGCATATCCCTTGAAATTTAGAAAACCACCTGATTTCCCTTATGTAAANCGCAAAATGTGTCTTACATTTGTGATTTTGATCCACCAGTGGTCAGTTGCCGAAAAAGTGTTTAGCTTGTTGTCCAAGTAGNCCTCCTCGCATTGACATACCCCCACTAGGACATTATTGGTTGCTCTGTCCCTCGCAAAATCTTGATTTACACCGTTGCTAGATCCTGCACTGTATGGATTCATTCTCGAACTAGTCATGCCACTGATAAAAAAATCTATAAGTAACAAGTACACAACAGTACACAACAACATACTTAGAGCAACANAGTGTAGTCTTTTAGTCTTTTCTGATCAACTCATCCTTGTTCTTGAGTTGCTTGTGGCTATGGTATTTCCCAGTGACATTGTACATCGTCTCCATAATCTCAGCATATCCCTTGAAATTTAGAAAACCACCTGATTTCCCTTATGTAAATTTGTCACACAATATACCCAAGAAACGTGCGCATTGTTGGGTAGTCCCAATTAGCTTTAGCAGGTGGCACCCTTTCGAGTGGTGACTAAAACTTATTTTTTTTCTCCTTACCCTGTTTAGAGTTGCCTACCGTTCTTGACTATCCTTGTGTGGCCATCACTTTGCTAAACATGTAAAAAATTTACTTCCAGTTTCTAGCAAACGCATGAAACACAAAGACACCAATTCCATTAATATACCAAAATAATTACTTTCTGAATAAATAATTTTTCCATTATTTAGTCTTGCCCATGAAAATAAATTTAAAATCAAATGCATGCACAAACAAAAACACAAGAATTCGAGGTGGTTTCTGGTGTCTTATTAGTGTGAGTGATATCACCAAAGGTGTTCAAATAGGGTGACACCATCCGGGAATCATAACGAGGTATTCAACCACGTTCACTTTTCCCTGCATAGTGTTATTGAACGGAGTTTTTGGGTGTGGAATAAAAGATAAACGATATTGAAGAGCATGCCAACATATGATACTCGAACATAGACATTCATTGTTGGTGCTTTAATGGCATTGCATAACTACATACGCAAGCACAATGCCCAAGATGAGGTACTTGAAGAGGTCGAGCGCGATGAGACATATGTACTCGAGGGTAAAGATTTTGGCACATGGATGTTGAAATTTTCGACAACAATGACGAGGAGTACATGGGTACAGTAAGAAATCGAATTAGGGACCAACTCTTTCGTGCACGGCGTAGGCTGTAAGTTCATTGCCAAAACTCCTTTGTTTTTCACTCGCATGCATTAGTGTTCCTTGGTTTGTATGTTTGACTTAATAGTCAGCCTTCTTCATGGAAAAAAACTTAAGTTATATTTATTAGCCGTACTTGTTTAATTGTTAGCTTGATGTAACTGTATCGCGAACCTTATGACATCAGACCCTGACATATATGGTATTTGTTGTTGTATTAACTTTACTTTAAGTTCATATGCTTTTATGGTGAATTGCGCATATTTTTGTAGCACATTTGGAGACCAACACCATGTCACAGTCAAATCTTGCTCTATTTAAATTATCAGCTTGGTCGATAGTTTTCTCACAAATTATAATCGTTTCCTAGTTTTTGCTGACTTCCAAATTCTAACGAAATCAATAAGAGAGCGCATTGACAAAAATGTAGACTTCATGCTGAGTATCAAGAGAAGTACCTGAAATAACAAAGCTTGTGATATATAAACATTGATGAATTAGCTGGGGATGCCCAAAGCAGAAATAGAAACAAAAATGATGCAAGGGAATGCTGAACTAGATCCCTGCAAAGATACTGAAGACTATGCAATAAGTAACGAAATCTATCAACGATGAGTAGGTTTGTTTAACTGACAAAGCTTCGTTTTGGTTCCAGGGCAATTTAAGTTCAAATCCACACAAATTCCAGAAGGAACAACAAAGGTTAGAGAAAGCCTTACTTGTTCTCCACCTTTGTTTTTCCCATGCCTTGATATAAGACAACCCCTTCTCTTTTGAAATCTCTGCAAGAGCAATATCTTAATACACAACATAGACATATATTCATTTCTCAAGGACATCCAAGGACTTCAAATTATATACTGTCTTTTTACAATGCATCACTTAAGCACCAAGGGATGATTATAATGAGATTTTTCATGAAATGCTGCAATGTTATTGACACATTAAAACACAAAGGACTCTTTCTACCTATGAAAGGCATCCAAATGCCTAGTGTTTTCTCATATTTCATCAAAATATAAAAGATGGAAAACAAGAATAGCTGAGTTGTATTCCCAACATGAACCTCTGTCAACAGAGCCCTTTGAAATTTCCTTCGGTGAAGGTTCTGGAGTCTCTGTCAAAGTCAGGCACCATTTGACAGTCAGGTTTCCACTTACTGATAAGCAAATTTGCTTGTCAGGATGTAGTACTCGAACTTTGAGTGAAACTTGAGCATAGTCACAATAATCATGCCCTACATTTGAATTTTTATGAAGTGAATTGGACGCCCGATTGAGCCTGGCTGCTGACGGCAGACCAGTGTTGTCACTCAAAACCTGGTAGGACTCGGGAACACAGAAAACATGGATATAAAAGCAATCAGGTTTACCAAACAGTATGCTACATTATGCAGCAACATCAACACAAGTGAACTGGCTTATACTATTAAGGTGTCTCTAACATGCTTTCAAACCCAAAATGCCTGTTGCTTGACTCATGCTTAGGATAGGAAAATCATGTCCAGTAATCAAGTCACTGGATTAAATAGACAAACCGTATGAACCTTGAGCACACCTCAAATCAGTTTGACATTACCTTTTAGGCTATGACTCATAACTAGTAACACTCTGCATTTCAGGTAACTCGGGATTAAAATTGAGAATGTAGTTTCGCGCTGGAATTTTATGATCTTAGTTGGTTGCATCTGCTGCTTTTATCTTTCTGTTTCTAAAATAAGTTCCTGTCATTCACATTTCAAAGTCAATATCAGCAACAATTAAGCAAGTGAAAAATGCTAATGATATTATAGCAACCGACCACTTACACATATCTATACGCCTTTCCCATCTTTGGATTTGAATAATAGGTCAGGGTGAAAATTGTAAGGACTCCTTCCTGTTTTATTTTTAACCTTCCAAAAAATAAAGTTTAAAAAACTCATCTACAAGCATACATGACCATATTGTTTTCTGTCTGTTTCGTTTGACACTAGCAATAAGAGTACTTACCAAGCTTGAAGGAAAATCAAAATGCAACCCCCTACTTAAAAAAGTATCAAAATTACATCCGAGAAAAAAATATCAAAATATTTAAAATTACTGAATACTTCCGATTACAACTATGATATATAAAAAGAGAATACTAACTGATGGGACATTTTCAGATATTCCAAGATAAGGACACGTATCCTCGGCATCAGTAAAATCTTGTTACTGTAATCACGACACGTACCCGACGGATCTCTAGTCCCTGTTCCCCTGCGGTACTGTTCATAGGGGTCAATGACACCTAGTACGTTACATACCAACACGTATCCTTCGGTCGGATATGGGGTACATCGGTCCCTACATGTACCACTCCCCTCGGTACTGAGATGTACCCGTCTAGGATGGCGTTCTCTGCTCCTGCAGAGGCTATTGATGTACAGGTCACTAGCCTAGGCTAGGCTAGTTTAGCCATCATGACCTCGTCTTACACAATTGATATCAGGAGGCACAGGAAGGCAGAAGACATAGCCAATGGGGAATGGGCACGTGGCATACTGTATCACATCAGAGACAAAAAGACCGGATGCCCTTGCTGACACACGACTTGGGAAAGCAAGCATTTAATTACGTCATTTCCTTGATGAGACAACATTTAATGCGATAGGGCTCGGAAGTGAAAGGTAATAAATGTCCCCAAGACTGGGTATTTATTGTATCCTTGCCAAGGGGAGCTCATTAAACATTCGGCAGGCCGATGACGCAGCATTGATAAGAAGACATTCCTTATAGGAATTAGTGCGCACGTTGCCCGTATCTAAATGATCACCTATTGACCACACTGACAGCAATCATGAGTTTTTGAGGTATAAATACTCCTCACCAAAGGCAAGACGGTATGCAACAAAAAACATTTTCTCAAACCTATACTCAGTGTTTTCTTCTTCCCCTCTCTCAAAAACTGACTTGATCGTCGGAGGGGATACACCGAAAAACACTCCGGCGCCATTCTAACTTGTCTTTCTCTGTTCCAGGAACCTCCCTCAGCCTTACCAAACCGCTCCTTTGATCCACGAAAGTCACCCATTACCGTTCCAGGCTGTTCCCAATAGCAAGGTTGACCATTTGATTGACTGACTCGAGTTCACCAAGGGAGAGATCTGTTCTCGTATTTATATTGTGCAAGATCCTGCACGCACAATCTGGCGCCGTCTGTGGGAAACGACTAGTTTTCCTAGTTTCTTCTCTATAAGGAACAGAGACCATGGTAAATACTCGACAAAAAGGGAAAGGTCCCCAGCAAAGAAGTCTTGAATTACGAGCTCCATGTCATGATGGAGGAAGGGATCACACTGATGGGAATAGAAATGTCTCTATTCAGTCAAGAGGGCTTACTCCTCAGACCAGTATGGGTATCAGGTCAGGAGGAACCGCCCCTTGGCTCGCCAACTAGCGGAGGTGATCGAAGAAAAGTTTGGGGATCGATTACGATAGTTGGAAAAAGACAATGTGAACGTCCTAAGCCGACTCAACGAATTCCCCGCCTCCGGCGAAGGGTCGAGGGACTCATTTCTTTCTCGTGGACTCCCCGCCCGAGAGGCGAAAACGAAGGATCTGAGGAATCATTTAAATAACAAGGCAGAAAGCTCCAGGACCCCAAAGCGACCGAGAGCCAACGAGCACCCTCTTAACGACCATTCCAGGAAGGCAAGGCCTTTAGCCCTGCACGACCTTCGGTGAGGATTGTCAAGACGGAGGAAGGGAGATGAGTCTAAGGAGGATTCAACCCTATCCACACGTCGTCTAGGAAATGGGGGACCTATTGATGAACTCGGAGTCTTCAGAAGACATCCCGTTGGGGAGAAAGTTGATCTCAGAGCTCGATTGGAATCCAGAAGAAAGGACAAGGCTGTCCAAGATGATGATGAAGACGAGATCATGCGATCACCCTTTACCAGGGATGTCGCAGAGATGGATGTTCTAAAAAAATTCATCCTGCCGAGGTTCAAAACTTACGATGGACGGTCCAATCCCGAAGCCCACCTCAGGCAATACAAGCAAATGATGTCTCTGTATCATTCAGACCAACGGTTCCTCTGTCGAGTGTTTCCCATGAGCTTGGGGGACTCCGCGATGAAGTGGTTCGAGGCTCTTCCCCCCAACAGCATTGGATCATGGAAGGAGCTGACGAGGCAGTTCCTAGCCTGATTCATTACGGGGAGTAAGCGGCCTAAAGACGTCGGATCATTACTGACTCTCAGACGGAGGGAATCCGAGATCCTTCGCCAGTACGCCATCCGGTACTGGGAAGAGGTTAATGAGGTAGAAGGCTGTACAGAAGTCATGGCAGCTGCGTCTTTCAGGCTCGACTTGGCAAGGGACACGGACCTGTACCGATCCCTAACCAAAAAGACTCCCTCGGATATGGGCGAGCTGATGGCCTGGATAAACAAGTACTCTAGAATCGAGGACGAGATGGGAAACAACAAATACAGGACCCTCCAACCTAAGAGAAAAGAGAAGGAGCGGAAGGACACTTCCCAAAAGGGACTGCTACCCCCTCCGGGGGGGTCATTCAAAGGAGTTCACACTATGTTCAAGGAACCCATCTACAAGTTGCTCCATAAGATCAAACATGAGTCATTCTTCAAGTGGCCGCCCAGGATGCAGAGCGATCCCTCCACCCATGATCAAAAGGTCAAGTGTTCCTATCACCGGAATTTCGGCTATCGCACCGAAAGCTGCAGGGTATACAAATCTTTCTTGAAAAGATTGGTCCGAGACAGATACTTAAAAGAATACATAAAGCCCAAGCCGGAAGAGAGACACACCCCTGTCCCGACCGAGGAGCCGGACAACGTCATAGATGTGATCCATGTATGTCCGCTAGATTGCCCCACGTCCAAGGAACTCGAATCCGATCTCAAGNGATACTTAAAAGAATACATAAAGCCCAAGCCGGAAGAGAGACACACCCCTGTCCCGACCGAGGAGCCGGACAATGTCATAGATGTGATCCATGTATGTCCGCTAGATTGCCCCACGTCCAAGGAACTCGAATCCGATCTCAAGAGGGTAGTTTTTACAAAAAAGATAACCGAGAATGATGGGGGGCCGCCCAGTAAATGGGCCAGGATTGACGAGCCGAGCATCACGTTCTCCGACGCGAACTTGACGGGCGTGGTGACTCCTCATAACGACGCCCTTGTCATAACCCTAAAGATAGGCAAGTTTGACGTCAAGAGAGTGTTGATAGACTCCGGAAGTTTTTAAGAGTGATGTACTCTGACACTTTAAAACGGATGGGTCTTGGCCACAAGGACCTCACCAAGGTCAGGACACCCCTCATCGGATTCAACGGCTCGTTCGCCTTGCCCATAGGCAAAATCACATTGCCAGTCGTCACAGGTCCCTTCACTATCAACACTGAGTTTATCGTGATTGATACGGACTCTCCCTATAATGTGATCATGGGACGAGCATGGCTGCATGCGTTGGGAGCAGTGCACTCCACTTATCACCAGAAACTGAAATTCACCACGCCAGAGGGGATCATGGAGATCCGAGAGGACCAAGCGTCCGCAAAAAATTATTTTTATTCAGCTGTGAGAGTAGGGGTTTTCACCCAAGAAAAGGGGCGCGATCCAGAAGAGATCCTGGAAAAATAGTAATCAAAGTTCGGGCGTCCAGGAATGGATGACCCCCGAATTGATCCAACGGAATGGTCGGTGGAGGACCTCCAAAAGGTGCCCTTGGTGGAGGGAGAAGAAGAAAGATACTTCTTAGTTGGAACCGCGATGCCCACAGCCGAACAGGAGGAGATGATTGAGTTCCTGAGGGTAAATGCAGACGTGTTCACTTGGAACACAATGGAAATGACGGGAGTGGACCCCGAAATAATCACACACAAGCTGCATGTTGACCCGGCACACAAGCCAGTAAAATAGAAACCACGATGCATGGCCCCGCACCACGCCCGCGCGGTCAGTGAAGAGATCGATAAACTCCTGGAGGCCAACGCCATTCGGGAAGTACAGTTCCCAGAATGGCTGTCTAACACGGTCTGCGCAAAGAAGAAGAGGGGGAAATGACGTGTTTGCATAGACATCCGGAGCCCTCGAACTGTTCGAGAAGTCCAAAAGCTCACAGGGATGCTGGCAGCACTTGACCGTTTCGTCTCACGTTCCTCAAACAAATACAAACCCTTTTTTGGAGCCATCAAGAGGGCTGGGAAGGATATGTGGAGCCAGGGATGCGAAGATACCCTGGATGGAATCAAAGAATACCTCAGGACTCTTCCGACCCTATCCAGGGGGAAATGCTCTTTTTGTACTTATCCGTATCAGAATGTGCCGTCAGCGAGGTACTTATTCGCGAGCATGAGCACCGCCAAAAACTGATTTATTACATAAGCAAGGCGCTCCTGGACGCAGAGACAAGATACCTGCCCCTAGAGAAATTGGCTCTATCCTTGGTCACAACTACAAGAAAACCAAGGCATTATTTCTAAGCGCACCCAATTACCGTCCTTACCGATCAGCCCTTAAAGGCCATTTTGAGGAAGGCAGACCTCTCCGGAAGGATTTCCAAGTGGGCAGTGGAGCTGGGGAAACGCGACATTCATTTCAAACCTCGAACCGCTATAAAGGGTCAAGTGTTGGCGGACTTCATAGCAGAATTTTCAGGGGAACATCCTATTCTAGAAAGACCGCCTCCTCCCGGCATAGCGTCCCCAACGAATTTTGAGGGATCACCATGACTTTTATGTGTGGACGGTTCGTCGAACAATAAGGGGTCCGGGGATTGGTATCTTGCTAGTCTCTAGAAGGGATGGTCGCGGAGCAGGCCGTTCGGCTAGGGTTC